GTTCTTCAGGTACACTGTATTTCACTCCTTACATCACTTTATTCAAATCGGTCTCAATCCACAGGCCTTGGATGCAAAGAAAGTCTATACTGGCTTCAATAACAGCTTACTGTTCAGTTCAACAGACATTATGCATGCAAACATCTTCAGTTAACAAATCCCAAAACACAGCAGCCCCATCTGAAGGTTAAGCTGATACTGAAAATGTAACTCTGGCCCTCAGCAGAATCACTACAGCCTTCCTAAATTTATACCACTGCTTAATTATTGCTACAACCAACAACTGCAATAAAATGCAAGGCTGTTATGAAACTTGCAATTTTCACCACCATCCAAATCAAACAAAAGCAGCCTATATGATCAGAAAGAAAGGAAACCCGACTCCGATGATGTCAAACAGGATTTCAGGGATTGGAAAGGAAAGGAAACAGCACAATAAATAGTTGTGTGGTTACATGCCCTCCACACAAGCAAATCACAACAAGTTCAAATTATTCAAATGCAGCTTTGCCATCTCAGACGCCCAGAGCTGTCCCGCCCCATCTGTGTACAGTCCACCTGGACTCTGGACAGAGACAGGGAGCCAGGTATTGCAACACAGTGCCAATGTCTTGTAGTTTCTTATATTAACACAAAGTAACCCACGTGATGTACCACTCCACTCAGTTTCCCACTGTGCATATCCACCTGTATCAACTCTCGTCAGGGTGCGGCAGAATCACGAGCTCTACTCTCCCCGTACCTGCAAGAGGAGAAGGGAGAGGAAGAGGTGGTGCAGTGAGGGCTTGCAGTGACTGGCATTTAAAGGTTTTGGAAGCTTTCCAGAACTACCTTTCAACTCATACAAAAGAATACGTGCCACTCCTTGCTAGATTACTGTATTACTACGGCTTTCAGGAGAGGGGGAACGCGCATTGCTCTGCGGTCTGGGTCTATCCCCCCGTCCCCCTGCTGGCGTCAGCTGACCTTGGCACCTAAGTCCTTGCTCTTGGTCCTCAGCTTGTTGACCTGCGACTCTGCGACCTCTGCCCTCTCCTCTGCATCATCCAGCTCGTGCTGCAGCTTCCTGTACTTGACCAGGCTCGCTGTGGCCTGCTGCTCCTGAAAACACACACCGGGGTGAGAAGGCAGAGAAAGACCATCTAAATGACAGAAACTTCAAAGTAGGACTTGAAGCAGGGAGAACCGTGAATACTACATCACTGACACAGCACGAGAACTGATCTGTTTTAAAAATCTAAAATAAAAATGTTGTCAAAAGTATCGGGCTAGTAAGAGGAGAAATCTTTATTTTGTCTGGAAACATAGTTTTTCATTCCTTGAGCCAGGATGGCCTAATTTAGATTTAAGACATTTAGTCAGTAAAAAATAATATTCCTTAGTTTCAGCAACTGTGACAACTTGCTCATACATCATGCATTTCTTTCTTACTGATCAATTTCACCCCAGTCCTATCCGTGGCTACTTGTTAAGTGGAAATCCCAATTTCTCAGACCGGTTATTAAGTAGCAAAATAAATTAGTCAACAGTATAGCAAAATTTCACAAATTCCGAATTAAGCACAAAATAGTGACCTTTATGAAAGTCTCAGATTGTTGAAAACCCCTGATCTCAGGCGAGAGCGAGGGTTGGCACAAATTTCAATGTGTACCAGCCCTTCCTGCTCACTAGCCACTGTAATGACTAATGTAACGTGATGTATGAGTGAACAAGTACAGGTTGTGCAGCAGCCATTTCACCCCAGGAATGTTCCAACGTCATGTGCATGCAGAGTAAACAAGTAAGTTGTATTTGTTGGCAAGACCTTCTCAACGTCAAGAGCAATATTTCTATTGGATTAAAAGAGATGTCTTCACCAGCCTGCTTGCTGACAACGTAATAAGCCTTCTTCACATCACCAGGCATTTGGTCACCTCATTCTGAATTTTGCGATGTAAATTGAAGGTTTTTACGTTACTGTGTACATTTTGCTTTCATTGTGGTTTGAAATGCACTCGCCAATGCCGATGCCATCTAATCCCGAAATATAAAACTAGCGTTGCAGTTCCCCTTTTCTGTAGACTGCATTGATATTTCTACCAGACACTGCTGTGCTTGCCTCTTTCTTTTAAGCTTGCTGTTGTGTTGCAGCACTGTTATCTTTAATGTTGCTAAGGTTGCTCATTTTTTACACGAAATGGCTCTGATTTGGGAAAGTGCCTGTACTCAGTCCCATGGGCCTTGCACTTCTGGGTGGGGAACTCACCGACTCCTCGGCCTGCCTCTTGTAGCTCTTCACCTTCAGCTGCAGCTTGTCCACCAGCTCCTGCATCCTGGCCAGGTTCTTCCTGTCCTCCTCCGTCTGCCGGACACCGCAGGGCAGTCACATCAGTAGGCCCAATACAGCCCAATACAGCCCAGCACCACCTCACAGCTCATCTGAGCTGGTGGGATTTCTCACCCCCCAAAATAACGTGTGGGGGTCAGCCAGAGCATTTGACCTATATGTTTTTCTTTGGCTATTCACGAGGTAACACCCATAATCGTCATTTATTTAATGAAAGACTGTAAGTATGCAAAAATACAGCTGATGCCCTGTGGCTCACGAGCCGGCCAGAGAAAACTTCAAGGGGCAGCTGTGAGAGAGGTGGGTGAAAGTATGGATGAGGATATTCAAGGCAATGAATGCAGCGAAGGGATAATTAACCAATTACAGCAAACCCTTACAGGGTACTGCTTTGGGGCCGTGTAATAAGCTGGTGTTTGGTTACTCTCCTGAGCAACCGTCTCCGTACCCCATTTTTCCGGACAGCACTGCGGGTTTTATGTGCTCTGGTTGAGCTCTCGGGATGGGGTACCTGGAAGGTCAGCTCCTTGACCCTGCGCTCCTGTTTGCGAAGCCCCTTCTGCGCCTCACTGTGGCGCCGCTGCTCGCTCTCCAGCTCGCTCTCCAGCTCCCGCACCTGCAGAGACCCAATGGCCCCACTCATTCCCAGATCCCACGACAACAGGGGCGGGAACGACAAGCGAATTCCCTTCCTTGACTCCCATCCGCCCATCCTTTATATGTCTCATTCACCCTCCACCTCTTAATGGACACGGCTGCTGAAAATTAAGTCCTGGCTAGAATAATAATAATAATAATAATAATAATAATAATAATAATAATAATAATAATAATTGCTTACACTTATATAGCGCTTTTCTGGACACTCCACTCAAAGCGCTTTACAGGTAATGGGGACTCCCCTCCACCACCACCAATGTGCAGCCCCACCTGGATGATGCGACGGCAGCCATAGTGCGCCAGAACGCTCACCACACATCAGCGATCAGTGGGGAGGAGAGCAGAGTAATGAAGCCAATTTATAGATGGGGATTGTTAGGAGGCCATGATTGATAAAGGCCGATGGGGAAATTTGGCCAGGATGCCGGGGTTACACCCCTACTCTTTTCGAGAAACACCCTGGGATTTTTAATGACCACAGAGAGTCAGGACCTCGGTTTTACGTCTCATCCGAAGGACGGTGCCTGTTTACAGTATAGTGTCCCCGTCACTATACTGGGGCATTAGGACCCACATGAGCCTGAATACAGACTGAAAACGAAATGGAATGGAAAGCTTGCAGTGAAAGGCTTGAGATACAAGGACTGCGACAGAGCTTGGATGTTAAAATATCGTCGGTGCAGCCGAATCAGAGCCGCCACCCCTGTCTGCAAGAAAGGATCTTCAATAATTACAATAGGAGGTCTTACCCGAGTCTCTAACTTGTGGATCTGCTTCTTGCCTCCCTTCAGGGCAACCTGCTCGGCTTCATCCAGCCTCATCTGCAGGTCTTTGATGGTCTGCTCCATGTTCTTCTTCATCCTCTCCAGGTGAGCCGAGGTGTGCTGCTCCTTCTTGAGCTCCTCGGATATCACAGCAGCCTGGGGGGCAGAGGGCCGGTCTGCCTGTCAGGCTACTCTGAGGAGAACACTACACAGCGCAGCAGCAGTCTCGCTGGGGAGAGCGCTCACAATTCCTGCTAGCCTGCTGGGGGGTAAACATGCAGCTGATCCTGTCCTGGACGGAAGCCAATTCGTCTTGATTCTCTAGTCTGATGGAAAAATTGCTTTTCTTGCTAGAGCAAAGGGCCACAGTTACAACACTCTCAACAGCTTTTAGAGTCTTTGTATTAAAAAAAAAAACAGAAGCCTTATTTCTCTTGTTGAGAAAATTATCTAAAGTGCAAAACCAAGAAACAAACAAAAGACAAGAAACAGAAGGCGCCTTACATCGTTAATCGCCCTTTTGGCCTTTTCTTCTGCATTCTTACTCTCCTCTATAGCCTTGTCGACTTCTTGCTGCATCTGAATGATGTCGCTGTCCAGCTTCTTCTTCTGGTTAAGGAGACTGGTGTTCTGGGATGAGAAGAGG